CCATTAGTGCCTGAGGGGGGAGGAGGAGGAGGAGGGAGGAAAGAGGAATAAGTCTATTAGTAATAACAACAACAACAACAAAACCCACCAACAAATCTGCACTAGCGCCTTAGTCCTCCTCTCAGACCGTCGCCTGCCTGGCATCGCCGCTCATCGGGCTGCTGTGCTGAGACTTTGTTTCAAGTAAAAAAAAAAAAAAAAAAACCAACCAAAAAAACCTTCGCTTGCTCAGCCACTTCCATTTTTTTTTCCCCTGCAGTCTCGCTGGTTTGAGGTGGTTTTGTGGTGGCTTTTTTTTCTTCTTTTTCTTTCCTTTCCCTTCATGTGGTTGGATTTGGTGGATCCGGAGCCAGAGCTGCTTTTTTCCCTCGGTGGGGTGTGTGTGTGGCGTGCCGGGGGTTTTCTCGCTGCGTTTTTTATCTTCTGCTGCTTTTTTTAATCTTGGTTTTGAACCTGAGCCGGGGAAAATGGGAAACGGTGCTTCCGACAGAAGGGGAATCTCTCCATCACTGTTGTTGGGACGTGTGCCTGTGGTGCTAGTCTTTTAGAGAAATAGCCTGACAGCTTTCGGAGTGGAAGGTAAGGGTGCCCGGAGCATTTCCATTTCCCATTTCCAGGGATTACGACTGGAGAGCTTTTAGCTTGGGATTCCGGGGAGGAGGCGGCGGAGGAGGGGGACAGGCTGTTGCTGGAGGATAGAGAGAGAGACAGCACATACAAAATTATCTCCGCATTTACTTCAGCGCTGCAGTTTAAAAGTTAGAGAAGTCCGTTTTGCGACAGGTCTGCTTCCTTGAGAGTAATTTCCAGCGAGACCGAGAAAACCTGAGGTTTGTGCACGATTGGGGTAATTTTTTTGGGGGGGTGGGGGGTGCTAGGTTAATAAGAAGTTAAAATAAGAGAAGTCAGTGGGTCTTCTGTTGGGGGAAAAAAATAAGTGGAGTGATGGCGCCGTCTATGTTCGACTAAACTACAGTGTCACCTAGAAAACCAGTTTGGGGAATATCCAAACTAAATGCCCGTTAGCTTTTCAAGAGGAGAGGATTCTCCCCCTTCCCAAATGGGCAACCTTAAGCCTCTCTGGCCGTTTTTTAACTCACTCCTCCACGGAAAAGAAAGATCTTTTTAATCCAAGTGCCTAATCCTTTCAGTGAGAAGATTCACTCTTCTATTTAGCAATACTGCAAACTAACCGAAATGCTGCCGGCACAATCAATTCGAGTGTGTGTGCGCGTGTGTGTGTAATGCACACAGGGAGAGAGAGATTAAGACGATATTGTGTTTCAGTAGCCTTGCATGAACAAACGCACAACTAAAATGAGGGCTATTTGATTACATTTCTTCATAGAAAACAGCCTAGCACTGCAGACGTCTCTATTTTTCTAGTGCAAACATTACATAGGATGGGAAAAGTCGGAGGTTTTTTTCCTTTTCAAACAGAAAAGAAAATAAGCCTCCTTTTTGCTTTCCAGATTATAAAATTAATCCTTTTTCATGGATGGAATTCCTAATTTAGACACTTATTGTCACATTGGCTTTCAACGCCTACACCATCCTGAATAACACTGCGCAGAACTGCATTGCCTGCAAAGTGCTTCAGCAAAGGGGAAATTGTTTCCAGAATTCCCGATAAGTTTATCTTTTTTAAAACCTTAAATGCTGTACCGACCCTTTTTGGAGAAGGAGGACCGTGTTATTCATTGAGATGGACACTCAGATAGGAGAAAATCCAACCGTGTGGATAGACCCGGCAGCAACTCTCTTTTTTTTTTTTTTTAAACCTCTACTATAAAGAAGGTTAGAGTTGGTGCTGCTTTGCCCATTTCAAGATTCAGAGTTTGAATTATAATCTAGGAGATAGGAAAATCTCTTCAAGGGAGCTTAATCTGGTGATTTGCTGCGTGTTACGCAATGGGAGACAGAAGATGCCTTGCTGTTTGGTGAGGAGATGAAAAGCTAGGCAAAGACACACATCAAAACTCACTTAACAGTGCCTGTGTGTGTATGTCTGCCTCTGCTTACAGAGCAACAGTGGAAGAGACTGCAATCTAGAGAGTTTTGAAATTAGCTTGGCATCACTTTTGTCTGCTTGCATTTGACAGCAGAAGGTGAAAAACTACTCATTTGTAAGACATAAGCAACTTCTTAAAGGTTAATGCTGAAAACGTTCTATTCAAATTTTTTGGATAACGTTACGGAGGTAAATATAAGGTTTGCTTTACTAACCTAGGCCACTGTTAAAGAGAACAGAGCATGTCGAGGCTGTAACAGTTGACAGGTGCAGTAAAACAGCTTTATTTGGAGATACTAGCAGAGGAAATGTAGTATGTCTTTCATCATTCAAGCGCACATCTGCAAAATACAGCTAATCAGGCCGTACAAGATATTCATAATAAAAGGGCAAGTGCAGTCCAATAGGTGCAGAGATCCTGCTGTAGCACTAGCAGCTGTATAGAGATACTGGGTGTAGATACTAATACAGTGATCCATTTTATATATCCTAAGAGGTTGTAGCAGGTTGAAATTGCTCTCCTAAAAAGCTGGCATTTAGTGGTAGTGCTAGACCAGCACTAGTTTCATCTGTCTGCCTTTGTTTCTTTCTCCAATAGTCTCAAAATTTTATTAATACATTAATCTCAGTACTTTCTGCCTGGATTTTCTTTTTACAGAGACCTCTGTATACCAGGTGGCCAGGGAGAAGGCATGTAGGCATATGGGAGATGATGTTCCATCTGTAGCAAATAATAATTTGTGCGTTTCTATATTATGGCTGTAATCCTTCACAGTTTCCTCAGACTTAATAGAAAAATAATATATAACAACAGACACTAATGGCTTTCTCATTCTATTCCGGTGAAATTCTGCATGTGCGTATTGTGTATGCACATATGTGACTATAGCAGATTACTTATTTACTTTTTGAATAAATAAATAAATAAATTGCCCTTTTCTTCGTCTGTCCGGTGAGGCGTCTAGGTTTTTACCTAAAGTTGAGCAGTTCTAGTCCACGCCATGATGACTGCATCCTAGACAGGAGAGGACATTCCTATTAATAATCTAATAGATGTTGTTTTTTAATTTGACTGTAGAAGACTTGGCTGTTGCGATGGCCACGTGATGGCGCTGTGCACACAGCAGCAAACCCATCCCTTGCGTTATAAAACAAAAATTACCTGCCCTTCTTTCTGAAAGGGGCTCTAACTGCAAGCCTGAAAACAGCTGGCTCGAATATTGGAAGGAGTTTGGTTTTCAATGCTTGAAGAATTCTACTTGCATTTTTATTTCATTTCATCTCCTGCAGGCCAAATGACATAGGATGAAGGCTGTTCGTAATTTGCTGATTTATATATTTTCCACCTATCTACTGGTTATGTTTGGATTTAATGCTGCCCAAGACTTCTGGTGTTCCACGTTGGTGAAGGGGGTCATTTATGGATCGTATTCTGTAAGTGAAATGTTTCCTAAAAACTTCACAAACTGCACTTGGACGCTGGAAAATCCAGATCCGACCAAATATAGTATTTACCTGAAATTTTCCAAAAAGGACTTCAGCTGCTCCAACTTTTCCCTCTTGGCTTACCAATTTGATCATTTTTCCCATGAAAAAATAAAGGATCTTTTAAAAAATAACCATTCTATAATGCAGCTCTGCGATTCCAAGTATGCTTTTGTATTTCTGCAGTATGATAAGAATTTTATTCAGATACGCCGCGTCTATCCTATTGATTTCCCAGGATTACACAAAAAAGAAGACGACCAAAAATCCTTCTTTGAGTTTTTGGTATTGAACAAGGTGAGCCCAAGCCAGTTTGGGTGCCATGTGTTATGCACTTGGCTGGAGAGCTGCTTGAAATCTGAGAATGGGAGAACTGAGTCCTGTGGGATCATGTATACAAAATGCACCTGCCCTCAGCATTTGGGAGAATGGGGAATAGACGACCAGTCCCTGGTGTTGCTCAATAACGTGGTGCTGCCCCTCAACGAGCAGACGGAGGGCTGCCTGACCCAGGAGCTGCAAACTACCCAGGTCTGCAACCTCACCAGAGAAGCCAAGCGGCCGCCAAAAGAAGGTAGGTCATTCTTGGAGGGGGGGCTGAATCCCACACCAGTGTGTAGGTCCTGCTGCTGGCTCTCCTTGATACATACATTCATTTGACTTCCTCTTCACTCCAGCTCACCTCTAGACGAGGTGAAAAGACTGGAGAAGATGCACACTCCCTCAGGGCAGGGAGGGTTGTATTTTCATTTCTTAAAATGGCCTAACCTTCAGCATATAATTCTGCTGTTGAAACTCCTCATAAGTAGGATCCGTCTGTTTTCAGCCCCCACTTACAGTAATACCCACAGCTGGTAAACAAGGAATCGCTCTCCCCCTCGCCATGTCTTTACTGCAACCACCCGACTACAAAATCTTGGCCCTCTTGATATGATCCCTTGACTTTGCAAGGAAAATGTTTCCAAAGGCATGCAGGCAACCTGACTGAAAGACCAGGAGATTTACCATGGTCAGAACACCTGGTCCCAACTGGGCCAGACCTCAACAACCTTCAGTACTTCAGGGTGCACCATCTGCCTGCCGATGCGTAAAGATGCGAGGCGCCGCACAGAGTCACCACATGATGTTTTGACGTTCTGGGAGCCCCGCGAAGGGGCCACAGGGCTGCCGCTGCTGCGCTCCTTCTCCAGGCGGCCGCGGGTCCAGGAGGCGAAGGCTCTGAATCTCACAGTGGTACTAGTAGGGTACATAGTGGGGTTGATGTGTCAGACCCAGCGGCTGCTTTGTGTCCCTGCTGGAAAAGTGAGTGTTGTGGAAGGATGGGAAAACAGGGGTCCTGCAATTAGAGTGGCAGCCTTCTGCCTAGCCCCTCTGCTTCATTTGTTTTGCAACAGGCCCCTCCTGTTTTGGCCTCCTGACGTTTTGGGGAGGTTGGGGGGTGATTTCGGGAAGGACTTTGTGGGGTTGAGAGGCAGAGAAGGTGTAGGCTGAACCTAGATGGAGGGCTCTGGCTGCACCTTATGGGCAAGGGGGTCCTTCAGAGCAGCCATGAGGTAATGGGGGAATGGGGAGATGTGCCCTGTGGCAAGGGATAAATCAGCGAGCCAGGGTATTGCATTTTAATGCAGGAAATGTTCCCTTTCTCCTTGTTTTCTGCATAGCCACAAAGCTCCCAGTCTATGGCGAGGCAG